CACTGTGCCTTGTGGTGCTTATGGTTTGTCATCACTGAGTCCATGCATTCCTTCATGCAGGCCGTCCCAGTGCTCCACAGTGTGTGAGTCTCGGTGAGTCGTGTATTCCACAGCGACTGTGTTTCTTTGTAGCACAGATGAAGAGGAGCCTCAGATCTGGGTGTCAGAGTACACACAGTGTTATCACTAAAAGAAAAGAAATTCTCTTTGAGCATTACGCTGAGCAAACCCGACAAAACCCATGCGAGCCTGTGCAGCTTTTTGGTTACCACAACAACAAAAAGTCAAGTCGGGTGAAGCAGGCGCTTTCTAACTTTAAATCCCCCTTAAGTGCAGGTGCTCTGTGTACCCTGTGCTATTTAGAAACACAGCCGGATTTGCAGAGAGAAATTTGTCCAACTGCTCTGTGGAACAAGACTCTTATTGCGGTGCAGACAACACGAGGAAACAAAGCGTGTTCAGGGAGGAAGTGAGCAGAAAAACCACTGCTCACACTTCTAGTCTCAGAAGAGAGATAAGCAGCAAAGGGTTTATGCTAAATATGGTTTTAATGTTCAACAAAGTAGCTCATGAACTATCGCTGGAGCAAGATAAAGCACTTCAGGTGTAGCTTTACACGATGCTGCCAGCTGCTGATCCATTTAATGCAAGTCACACAACTTTAAATGTCATTTATGTCACTTCTGGAGTAAAATAAACAATCAGAGCTTCATGCTTGTCATATGATGTTTTGCAGCTTTTAAAGACAACTGAGGCTGTTTGAAGTAACACCTCACAAGTTTTCACCCTTTTAAAAACCTAAATGTGCATCCTGACAGCGCCTTAATCTCACAGCCCCTTAACTCTCACAAGTACATCTTAAGACCTAATTATCTGTCAGTGTGTAGACGTGGAAGTCTTCTGCTGATTCCAGATCAGAGGGAACATTTTCCCATCTTGTTTAACAATCAGTAATTATCATAAAGCTCATGTGAAGTCAAAGAACATCAGATAACTTTGTGATATTGTAAAATGTTGATTTATTTGCACAGAAAAGGAAAAGGTAAATGTCAGCGGTGATAAACTTTTCAGAACATTTATCACGTTTATTATCATCAGAGATTTTTTTCCCAACATTAAACAGAGTGACAGTGAAGCAGAAAGGAGGCTTCAGAGAGGATTAGGGATTTAAAATCAGTGTTTTATCCATAGAGATCTTTTTATGAACCAAATTCAAAAGGCTGTTAAATAAAAGTTTGTGATAATTATCAGATTCGGCAGGATAATGATCTCTGCTCATCATTAAACAGGTGTCATTGCTAAATAACACATTTCAGGAGTTCTGTCCTCAGACAGGAGGAGAAATGTGTCACTGCAGTATGCTGAGAGGCACTGATCACATCTGAAGGATCAAAAAGCAGTCCAGCTGGGCTTTGTGAAGGACACACTTCTGAGTTTATTTTCAGGTGGTGACAACAAACTAAAGAATCCCAGACACACAACCAGGCAGCAGGCCAGGGCGCCTTTATTGACACATCCCATAGATTATTCTTCTTTTGCTGAGTGGAAGTGGAGAGCCGTGATGGAGGGTAATGATTGTGTCAGAGGGTTCCTGAACTTCAAACCCTTCCTTCCCACCGGGGGGACGGGGGAAGCTGGACTCGCTGTGGCCACAATGCCCCCTCAGCTCTTTCATGTGTCTGGTTAGAGGCCTCTGTCTGACCCGGGCGTCCGGCCGCAACAGGACAGGTCGATGCCTTCTGATAATGTCACACAGCATCGACGGGGTCTGATAAATGACTGAACCTGATCCACGATACTGGATCTGTTCAGAACCAGAGTCAATAAATGGTAATATTTGTGTGATGGACGCTCACTTCCAGGTTAAAGCTTGTGTCGGCAGGATCTTTAGTGGCCTTGTTGGATGATTCGATGTGGTAGTGGGTTGGATTTGTGCCATGTGCAGCTCATGCAGGAAGAAGACCGGTTAGACTCAGATGTCTCAGGAAGCAGAAGTATTATTCAATATTAGAGAATAGCAGGACAAACTAACACGTGGAAAGTCACCCTGAAGTCTGAAAACCATCTTGATACCAGGCTGCACCATGCCAGATGAGCTTTATAGTCCCTGCATAAACCCTTCCAGCACGTTCTTGGTCTACCACCGGGTGTCCTCCCAGATGGGCCCAGAAAACCTCTAAAGGACGGCACCCTGGGGATATTCTCATCAGATGCCTGAAACACCTCTGTTGGTGTCTTTGAACATGAAGGAGAAGCGACTCTAATCCAAGCTGCCTCCGGACATCTGAGATCCTCAGCCTGTCTCTGAGGCTGAGCCCAGCATCCCTGCAGAGGAATTTCATACACTTGAATCCAGGATCTCAATCTTTCAGTTCCTTTCCAGAGCCCATGACCGACTAATAAATCTTCACCACAATGGCCCAGTACAGTTACTGCTGACACTGAACCAGACTGTCTGTCCAGCTTACTCTCCATTGTCTTGTCCCTTGTGAACATGATGCAGAGATGCTTAAACTTTAAGTGTCTTGTAGAATTAGTTAGATGTTGTTTATTAACATACAGCGGTCAAGGAGTGCAATACCAGTCAAACGTTTAAACACATCTATTCATTCAAGTGTTTTTCTTTCTTTTGCACAATGTAGAACAAAAGTGAAAATCTTGAAGCAGGAGAATAAGCATGATTCATGATTCCCAGTGTTGTTGATGGTAACCAGCTTCATGAGGTCTGTCACTTGGAATGGTTTCCAGTTAACAGGTGGATCCTTGTCCAAAGTTATTTGGTGGATTTTCCATTCATCCATTTTTTTCCACTTATCTGGGGTTGGGTTGTGGAGGCAGCAGGTGAACCAGCTCCTCCTGGCCAGATGAGATATATAGTCCCTCCAGCGAGTTCTGGGTCTACGTACCTGGGTCTCAGAGGTGCCCAGAAAGGAAGCCTCCCTGGAGGCATCCTAATCAGATGTCCGAAACACCTCAACTGGCTCCTTTCAACGTGAAGGAGCAACGACTCTACTCCAAACTCTGGATGTCCACATTTCCCACCATATCTGTAAGGCTGAGCCCAGCCAGCCCATGAAAGAAACTAATTTTGGCTGCTTATTCCTGTGATCTGTTTCTTTCGGTCACGACCCTGAGCTCATGACCATAGATGAGGATTGGAACGGCTTTACACGAATACCACCAACAGGATCAGAGACAAGGTGGTGAGACTATCGGTTGTGTTGTGCCGAGGTAGTGTTCATATCCAGCTACTTCAGTAATCCATGTTATGGCAAGAACCTCTAAACTACCGACAAATAAATGACAGTTTTTCATCACTTTAGGTTCTAACCTTGATGTTCTCCTGTGTGATCACAAAAACCCTCAAACTCTGTGACCAAGCTGTCTCTCACGAGGACTGCAACTGGAAAGGAAGACCAACATTT